CCAGGCGGGGGAACCAGCGTGGTCCTGCAGGTACCCGAGGGGACCGCACGCCAGGCGGGGGAACCAGCGTGGTCCTGCAGGTACCCGAGGGGACCTCATGCCAGGAGGAGGAACCAGCGTGGTCCTGCAGACACACAACGGACCCACAAGCCAGGTGGGGGAATCAGCAAGGACAAAGGCGCCGCCATAAGAAGGAAGCTAGCGCAGCTGGAGCAGAGTAAGAGGTGGGGAGTGATAGGAAGCGAGGTCATATATGGCCTGGAAAGCCGTAGAACGGCCTCTGTGTTTTATTTGAAGACAGATGGAAATCGAGGAGATGAAGTTGAGAAGAAAAGAGCCATGATGTGGCTTACGTTTACAGGATTACTTTGACCCATGTGTTAAGAACAGACCAAGTAGTGTGAGCAGCCATCTAAGATACTCCACTGGTCTCACCCCTTTGGGAGCAAGGGAGAATGAAGAAAACTAAAGATACAAGGGAAAGATTAGTCCAAAGAACTAATGGACCACAACTACCACAACCTCCACCAGACTGAGTTCAGCACAGCTAGATGGTGCCTGGCTACCCCCACTGACTGCTCCGACAGGGATCACAATAGAGGGTCCCGGACAGAGCTGGAGAAAAATGTAGAACAAAATTCTAACTCACATAAAAAGACCTGACTCACTGGCCTGACAGAGACTGGAGAAACCCCAAGAGTGTGGCCCCCAGACACCCTTTTAGCTCAGTAATGAAGTCACTCCTGAGGTTCACCGTTCAGCCAAAGAATAGACAGGCCCATAAAAAGAAACAAGACTAATGGGGCACAATAGTCCAGGAACAGGGGACAAGAGAGCTGGTAGTAGGGAACCCAAGGTCGAGAAGGGACAGTGTTGACATGTCACGGGGTTGTTAACCATTGTCATAAAACAATATGTGTACTAACTATTTAATGAGAAACTATTTGTTCCGTAAACCTTCATCTAAAGTACAAAAAAATAAAATAAAAGAACAGACCAAGTAGGTGGTGCAGTGGGTCATGGGTGAAGACAGGGAGACTAGTTAAGAGGCTGTTACAACAAACCAGATGGGAGATGATGGTGACGTGGCCCAAGGAGGTAGTGAAGGAGGATGAGAAGAAGTCAGACTCTAGTAGCTGTTAGGCAGAGCCACCAAGACTGGCTGATTGTTTGAATGTGGGAAGTGAAAGGAGAACAAGAGTGGTTCCAAGCTTGGAATTCAGAGCCGCCATAGACCGAGACGGGTGAGACTAGGAAGAGCAGGCTTTGGGGTGGAAATCTGGCCCTCAATGCTGGACACAGTAAAGTTGAGCCAAGACACCCAGGTGGAGATGTGGAGGGAGCATGGGAAAGTTCTGGTGTGGGGACATGAATTAGGGGTGCTCAGTGTATAGAGGGGTCCCTGGGTGGTGCAAATAGTTGATGTGCTCAGCTGCTAACTGAAAGGTTGACAGTTCAAGTCCCCCCAGAGGCACCTCAGAAGAAAGGCCTGGGAATCTGCTTCTGAAAAATCAGCCATTGAAAACCCTCTGGAGCACAGTTCTACTCTGACACTCACGGGGTCACCATGAGTTGGAGTTGACTAGGCAGTAACCTCTTTTTTCTTCTCAGTGTATAGAAAGTTTTGAAAAACATAGACCAGAACGTCAGTGTAGATGGAGATGAGAAAGGGTCCAAGGCCTGGCCCTGGGGTGATCCGATCTTGAGCCCACATATCACATCCCTGTCGCTGCTCTGAAAAGCCTCTCTGTCAGACCCCTGTATTAATAATATCCCTTCGTGGTCGCTGAATACCCGGCACTCACCACCTCCCTGGTCTTGTCGCACTGGGCTGTGATGGCCTCTTCCCTCTCTGGCACCCGGGACTGTGAACTCCTTAAAAGAACCAACTGTTTTTCTTAAATCCTCATTTTCCCATCCCATGTGTCTCTTTCCAGAGCATGGAATGCAGGGGCACTGACCACTGTGTGATGAGTAAATTACACCAAAGAAAGAGGCCAACTCAGCCACAGTGTCTATTAACACCCAACTCAAAGTATGAAGTGCTTCCAATTAGGGTTCTAAAACACCCAGAGTTAGAGATAAAGGCTTCTAGGATGAGATTCAGTTCAAAGAAATCTCTGAGGTCTGAAGCCCTCCTC